TTTAGTCCTCGAGTCCATCCACGGCGGGGCTCAGCCAACTGCGAACCACCAGATCTCATGTTCCAGAACTTGATGTCAGATAGCCAATGGTCAGGGATCTGGTCGGGGTTGCTTGGAATTCCGAGTAAGACACCAGAAGCCATATGTTGCGGAGTACCGGTGTTGTCGTTGAGCCAGACATAGGATGACCCAGAGAGATCACGCTTCTGGATGACAGAATGGGATACCGGTTCTGGAGCGCTCAGGACTGCGCCCAGGGCTGGTAGTGTCAGGCCCAATAGGACGATCAAAGCATTTCGAGCCATGGTGTCTGTAACTTCGGCGCGATGAATGTACTTGAAAGATGGCCTTCGAAAATCCTTTGATGAAGAACGAGTGAAAGAAGGAATGTTCGAGCGGTCAAAGGGGGGTTTATATGGCAGACCTCTTCCTATAACGCACTGGCTTCGCGGGTATCACCATAATATCTCAGACCACTAGCAAAACAGCATCTCAACTACATTCACGGAAAGAATCTTGCACATAGAAAACTAGTAGGTAGCTCAATGGGCGCCCATCGACGTTTATTTTCCCGGGCGGCATCATCGCTTGTCGCATCCGGATAAAGAATGCCAAGTCCGGTGGGGGTATGCCCGGTGGGCGTCCGGTGCACGATGCCGATTGCGCCGTGCCGGTGTATGTAATTCAAAAGTGAGAGGAATCGCTATTGGTGTAATTTCTTCGCCGAGCACACTTGGTACTATCCAAAAAAGCCGGTGTAATGCCCGGCAGAAACACAAACGGCGGGGGCGGGAGACCAAAGCCTCAAACGAGGGGTGAACCTGGAAATAAAATAATCGAGCCTACCTCTTCGTCACGATAGTTTCTCGTCTCCTCATAACCATGGATGGAACGAGATAATTACCCCTGAAGCCCCTGCTCTGAGGAGCATGGTCATGACTATGCTGACCCACGTGCATCCTTACTTCCATCCTGGCTCTTAAATGTAGCATCTAATCAATCAAACTGATGGATTAGATTACGTCAAAGTCTAAATTTACGGCTTATCAGATGGGGCGATCGTCGCTCGTTTGAACCCGACTGGACGCCGATTCAAACAGAATGAAGTTTTTGAGCGAACCAGATATTTCCTTTCTCTAGAGCGGGGCTTATCCAGGTACAGCGCCGAAAGATGCATCCGCGCGGGAACATCGTAGAGCGCAGAGTTGAGGGAAAAGGAGTTGAAAGACAACGAGAACTGTTCTCAAGGTGTATATAAAGATGGCGGCCGACTCTTGCTTGCTAACTTGATCCTTCTCATCATCACTCGGAAACACAAAAGAACCCCAGACCAACAAAGGGCCAATCACGGTATCATCTCAACTATGAAGTTCATCCAAGTCTTTGCGATTTTCGGTAAGTTAGTTGACGATTTCAACCGCGGAAGTTCGCTGCAAACTAACGTTTTGGTGCGCAATAGCGTCGATGGCCATCGCGGCTCCCCTCGCTCGAGAAGCACGCACCGAAGCAGCAGCTGGTCTGGAAGCGCGCCAGGGCTGCCAGTGGGACCCCACCAAGCCTCTGGGCGGGTGCCCATAAGTACATGATGGTCTCAGCAGCACACACGACAACTCGTTGAGTTTCCAGTATGAGTTAAGTCAGTCGGAGTCAAGTCCTGGTGCTTCTATAGTCTAGACTTTATGCATTCTATCTTGGCCATCTTCCTCTGAAGACCGTTGTTGAATATCAAATATACACATTAAATCCTCAAACGAGTCATTCACAGCCCCTCAATCAACTTGGGCAAGATGACATTGTTGTACTCCCACACCACAGTCGAGAAGCCTGCAGAGAAGGCTGCTCCCGTGTACCAGGTGGAGCGGCGGCCTTGAAGAGCTGTCTGCTTCTGAATGAATCCTGTACGAAGCTCCCCGCCGGTAACGCGAGGATGCATCTTCCCATGGTTCGCAAAGGCAACAAAGCTGACTGTGCCGTTTGAAGCAGGGACTGTTCCGGCCTCAATTAAGTTGCCAATGGACTCAGCAATGACGGCCTTCATGCTCTCTGAGGTATCCTCATCCGTGCCGACAGCCGTGAACTGAAACAAGTCTTTGGTACCGCCAATGTAGTCAATGCGACCCACCTGAGAGGGGGTAGGGAAGACGGTGTAGTTGGTCGAGCCGGGAGCGGGCGACCTGTTGGAGTAGGCGGTGCTGATTTGCAACGACGGGTGACGTAGGATGCCAGCGTAGACGGTGGTGAACTCGATCTTGTCAAACACTTCTGTCTCGGTCTCGTCTGGACGGAAAGGGGCGAGACTTTCGGGGGTCGGCTCGAAAGCGATGAGCAGGCGCTTTGCGTCGATGCAAGTCAAGGTGCCATCAGCGCCGGCAACCTTTACGGAGACACCCTCGTCAGTGCGTTGAGCTGTAGAGACGACAGTGCTGGAGTAGATAACATCATCGCCGAGGAACTTGGCCACGCTCTCGTACAATTCGTAGAGGCGTCCCGAGGCAGGGACCGCGGCGGCGGCGGTTCCCAGCAGAGCTCGCACCATGGGGACGCCGGAAGCCTGCATCACGAACAAGGTCGGCACGTCCATGGTATCACCAAGGCCCTGTGCCGTGGAGTCCCAGATCTGGGGTACGGCGGCGGCGATGTCGTACTTTTCGACGAACTGGCGGAAGGGCATGACCAGGTCCTCCGGAATGGCGTCCGCATCTGGGAAGTTCTCGAAGCCTGGGAGAATGATGTCCTCGTATTTCTCAAGAACGTCGAGGTACCTCTGAAGCGCGGGATACATGGCGTCTGAAGAAGGCGCATTCCAGCCTGTCACCGGCGAGCCCGTCTTGAAGTCGACGTACTTGTAATCAAGTGTGGTGAACTGCATCGACCCACTGGTTGAGACATTCATGCGCTTCGGGAAGTCAAAGGTGTCCTTGTACTCCATCCATGCCTGGACACCGACGTTGATGGACTTATTCGAAGCCGAGTCATAGTAGAATGCCGTATGGCCACCCTTGAAGATAATGTTAGTTACGATACGTAGTTGCTTCAAGGAGAGGCATCTAAAGAAGGGAGGGTGACGGAAGAGAGGGCGTAACTTACAAGTTGACTAGCTTTTTCTACAACGACGACACTCTGTCCATGGTCTCTCAACCAAACAGCAGCGTGAGAGCCAGCAGCACCACCACCAACGACAATAACATCCCGAGAGATGGTATGGTTGCAACAGCTCAACCCAGCCACGCCCTGCGCCACAAACGTAGCAACGAGACTTGCACCTGCACGCATCGTACTAGAACGCATGTCGACTTAGAAAGCGTGGATAGTTCAGAGAGTTCTAACCAACACGTGATCTTTTGGAATGCGGCAGTACTTCTGGTGTGGTAAAGCGATTGGTAACGAAACGCACGTCTACGGCGAGTCTGCAGAATCACGGGAGATTTTAAATCGAGTTGTCGAATGCCCGCAAAGTAGCACAACATCAATTCCCGAAGGTTGAAGACTACGTCTGCATAGCCTACGTACTTGACTTTCCCAAATAAGTATACATATCTCGGTTGGTGGAATCGATCGTCTTGGCCGCCAGCCGTTCTCGCCGACATGGAGTCTTCACCCCGCATTGGACCAACGGCCGCTGCATGCCGGAAATTGCATTGTGACTGATGGATCCTAGACAGGTGAGCTAAATCGTGAAACTTTGTTGGATGTCACGTCGATTTCGTCGAACCAACAAGTTCAACAGCGAGAGAATACAGGCATCTTTCGAAGATGGTGTGATAATACTACACCTTGAGGGGCTTTCGAACCAGGATTTTAGGACACAATGCTCCGCTTTAGAGACCGCGGCTCCGAGCCCGGCCGTCCGAATAAGTTGGACCATCAACCAAAAGGCTGGGTGGATAGTGGCCGGGGTTGAAATGCAGGGGCGCGGCGCCAGCAGTATCCATAAGTCCCACCCGGGCCGATGGCCTCGATCATCCGAGCAAGCCCATGCATTCGAATTCTGCGCGGTTTTGCGAAATTCCTTGTCAATGTTGACAGATGAAGAACGAAGGCCGGTTGTGGCGTTGCCGGCACGCTTCCAAATCGCCACGACTTTGTCCGGAAACAGTAACAGGGAGATTGGCTTGAAAGCTGAATATTGAACTGTGGTTCGTTCATTGCTGCTGCGGGAAGCGTGATTCACGTTGAGAAACGACCTGATATCCCACATCTCCCTGTCATATGGGTCCGTTTAGGCCGTGCGTGCGGTCCGTGATAAGATCGGGCTGGGCCGGATCGTCTGTTCCACTTGAAGAACTAAACAGCTGTGCTGTGCCACAAGAGTTCTCGTGTTACGACTATTGTGTTCGAGGAGTTGACAGTGTATCTGTCACTCGATGCCCTATACTCTCACCGTTTCATCCTTGTTCTTGGCATATGTAGCCCATGTGGCAACGCGCTGCCCGGAAATCCCGGTATGTTCAACCCCTCTTCTCCCCTGTGCCACACCAATGCAGAATCTTCAAGATTGCACGTTGAAAAGGAGTCACCAACAGGGTAGTGAATCCCTCGGAGGAAGGCATCTACGAATCGAGCAATAGTCTCGCAAGAAATACGACGTCTGTCATTTTGAGCTACTGTGGCATGTGCGGTACGTCTTCAATGTTACCACAAGCTGAGAAATTATCAAATAACGGCTAACTCCTAGTGAAGCTCGAGTTGTGACAAGTTGTGAGACGCTGCAAGGTGCAAATTTCTTCTTGCCCCCTTGAGCCTAAACCCAGAAGCGTCGAAGAAGTATGCATGAAGCCAGGACCGGAAAGTCGTGGGGCCAAGCCGAGGCCAAGAGTGCGTGGGTTCCCTAACACTTGTAGCCGTAAGAATAAGCATCAAAGTGTTGATACTCTCCGTAGGATTCTCAGTGATACTGAACCGCGAGAAACGAGGGTGGCCTTATCCATAAGTCTACGTTGCCCTCATCGTCGCTACTGCTCTCTTTCTACCCTCTCCATATTCACAATCATGAATTAACGATGGATGGCATTCCTCCAGAATACGTCAATGCTAACAATGCAGGGCGGATCGTCGGCGTCGTTGGCGCTTTCCACTTCATTGCTCTGGCATTCGTCTCGCTGCGTGTTTATGCTCGCGTAGTAATCCTCAGAGCCTTTGGAGCCGAAGATGCCCTCATAGTGGCTGCCGCCGTAAGTCCGTACTCTTATATCAGTTTGTCCGTTGTTGAAGGTCAAAAGAGGTTATTGACTTCAGCACGATTTAGATACTCGCCCTTGTCTCTTGGGTCTGCCTGGTCCTTCAAATACCTTATGGTCTCGGTCGTCATGGTTCGACAATCCCGACAAACGACAGAATCGAATTCGAGCAGATATCTTTCTGGAAGACGGTTTTATCAGATGGCGTCGCGATGGGACTGTTAAGAATATCGATGGCAATAAGTCTACTTCGACTAAAGAGGGACCTTCAATGGTACCGATGGTCGCTTTACGCCGTAATTGGTATGTATGAATACGAAGTTGTCGCCTCAGATCCAAGACGTCGATGGCTAAAGTCTGTAGGTTTTGTCATTGCATACTCGATTCAAGCAATTGCTTGGTTGTTTGTTTACTGCACGCCATATTCGGGCTGGTGGGAGTTTCAGTGGATGAACCCCTTCGATCCAAGGTGTCACGACTTCAATCTGTTTATTAAACTGACGTACTGGAATATCTGTAAGTCAGCCTGCGTGCCGGGCCGTCACGATTTCTGACAAACCTTTTGGTCAGCCTGTAACATATTTACCGACATTTGCTTGGGAGTGCTACCGATTCCCATCATCTGGCATTTGAAGATGAGATTCCGCGTCAGACTTTATGTGATAGGCATCCTTAATCTTGGTTATTTGTAAGTCTTAATCATGTCCTGATATCCTTCTCGATTCGCGAATGCGCTGACATGATTCTCAATCCAGTGCAGTCATCATGGGCATTCTCAAGGGTGTATTCATGTTGACCACAGGTGGCAGTCCAGATGCCATATTCGACTATTGGGTTCATTTCTGGCAAAAGTGAGTCAATTTTCATGCAGTAAACTAATTTCACAATGCAATGTGTAGACGTTAGTGAAAGTGCGCATCCTAATTAGTCTTGATGCGAACTAGTCTTCAACTCAACATCGGTATCATCGCAGCTTGCGCCTCCTACCTCAAGCCTCTATTCGGTCGCCTCTTGAAGATCAACAGCTCAGTCGACTACTACCCTAGCAACGAACGCTACGGCCGAAGTGGTCAGACGCCCCTTGGCGGCGGTGCCTCTCGCAACACCCCCTACGCGAGCGGTAACAGGAGAACCAGCAGGATCCCGCTGGATCGCAGTTTACATGACGAGTTCGAGATGCATACCAAGGACGAGTTCAGTGTAACTGAAAGATATGTTTCTGGCATAGGTACTAGAGCTGACGTGGTGCGCTCGCCGATCGCTATGGAAGGCCGATGTTCCGCTGAAGCTATGTATGCTGGTACTTTGCCTTCCGATACGAACAGCGAGGAGATTATACTACAGAAAGAGCATGGAAGAGGGATTGTCTGCACGAGGGACTTTAGTGTCAAGTACAGCGAGAATGATAGGTTTGGGCCAATAGGTTCATCGAAGTCATAACAAACATGGCAGGGCACTTCTTCTTTAAGGTATTGGCGTAGGAATCATATATAGTATTTAAACAACATTGAAAAATGTTATGGACAGGAGAGATATTTCCCGATGTCTCCAGTTGATGATTTCTCATTGAGGCCTAGGGACGCATACTTTTTCAATAGCTCCTCTTCGTTCCGTTTGGTCGTCATCATAGTCAAGAGAGTTGCATTTCCCCTAGCGAGACTCATCCGCCCGGGAACTACTTTATTCACAAGGTAAATCTTCATCTCCCAACTGCCTAACTGTGTGTGAAATTCCTACAGGGAGCAACTGAGTCCCAGGGAAATTAACGGCACGCAAGCTGCAAACTCTCATTTTGCATGCCATGGTCGTGTGCCTCAGATAGACTAGCGGAGGCGGCACCGGGATGTTCGCGATGCGGCTGTTTACCGATTCCGATGCCTGGTCATGGATCCTCGTAACAATGGGCATGCCAGACCTGAAAGCCGGCGGGAAACCTCGGCACTTGCCAGCCATCTCCTGGATCGGGTACAGGAAATGAAACGCTCAGCTGGGGTACGACGATCTCGGACCCGGCACCGAACCAGCACCAAGATGTCGGATTCTGATGAGCTGAGATCTGCTAGTCCCGGATATATACCCACCGGGATGCGTTATCGAGTCATACGTGGAACCAGTGGAAGAAGTGTCAAAGCGGATTCCGTCGGCGACGAGCCAGCGGTAACGTTGCTGCATGTCAGCGGTTGGAGAAGTTGAGAAAAAGGCACGCGCCAGACTCGTGCGCCAACACGTCTGATGACGCACATGCATGATGCACGGCGCCGTGAACGGTCCCTTGCGATGCCCACTCTCTCGACTCGCTGCACATCGGTCCAAGTAGAACAGCTAGAAAACATGAGCGGCTATAGATAGCTTGCCAACATGCAACGGCTAGTAGCTAGCCAATGTTCAGAAGTGTGGCCGCGGCGACATCATTTTCCCGAGGGACCAGGTCTTTTTCTCGCAGATTCTGCAGTCTGATGTCTTCAGTTAGACATTTCTCGCCCACTGGTGAAACGCAAAATTGAATGAGCAAGGTGACCTTGCCAATCAACGGTTACTTCGTAAAACATAAGGTTATCGATTCCAAGGGAAGACCCTGATCTTCGGCCCGCGATCGAGGAGAATCATAGTCTCAAAGATGGCCGTCAAGCCGTTGTTCCTCTCCCCCGCAGAATGTACTCCGGTATCTTCGTGAACTAAGCCAGCATAAAAGCCGTATGATTGGCCATATGGCGGGTTTGTCCCCAAACTGGTAGCCAGCAGACGGGCCCACGCCGGTCTGAGGGCCCGGGCCCGTTCGTCACTTGTCTCGGTGGGAAAGTGGGGTTTCTTTGCGTAGTCTCGATCCGGGAAGGAGGCACTGAGAACTGCCATTGATTGAGTGGCAGGTTGGGCCTTGCCTTGTGACAAGACCGATCTTAGCTCCTGCTTCAGTACCTTTACCGGCTGCACGTCATTCGCCACTTTCCTCCGAACCACTCAGCCGACGGGTTCTTCGTTCTTTCCCAATCGTGGTTGGGCAGGCACCAGGTAAGAGATACAGAAAGGCAGGAGGCGGGGTGACGGAGGAGCTTCCCTCTACCACCGGCGTCAAAGCTAGCATCGCTGGCTGGAACTTGGGGCTGCTGACTAGCGACTTCCATGCTCGGGGGAAGAACATGTGGTCTGTTTGACTGGCCCAAGCCGTGAGGAAGGAGCCAGACGGGAGGTGCTCTCGCTCTTGCCTCTCATCTCGCCCGGTTGTTTCCTTTCCATCAATGATGCTCCAGGTCGCCATTAGATAATCATCGCCATTACTTAAACCACCAAATCACTTGCCACCCACAGCTTTTGACTTCTCCCACCTCCATCACCACTTCACTGCACAATCAAACAATCAACGACTTCGGTCCACAATCGAGGCAAACAGAACCACCTTCAAGTCACTTCAAACGACTCCACCAACTATCAACATGTCTGGCTGCGGATGCGCTTCCACCGGCTCCTGCCACTGCGGCAAGGACTGCACCTGTGCCGGCTGCCCCGTAAGTTCCCCTCCTAGACACTGATCGCACCATCAGCCACCAAGATGATGTTACTGACACTCTTGCCACAGAACAAATAAGCATGTTCGAAGCTTTAACTGATCGCCATGCTTCACGGGTGGATCTACGGGTTGTTTGGACGGATTGACCACATGGTTTTCGAATGGTTGCATGCAAACAGATGCAATGGAACTTTCTCCCTCACCCCCTCACTTCAGCCCTGTTGTCGATAGTCGTTAGGCAGAGATTCACAATGCAAAGTTGATATCGATAGTCTTTGCCTTCTTCGTGCGGTGCAATCCCTTGTCGTATAGTTGTGTCACCTCGATCCCGTCTGTGCTGACCTGTCGTTAATATGTACGACGCCAGATCCATATCACACCCAGTCATACTGCTACGCATCATCCATGTACAACGCGATCTCGCACTCCTCAGTCCACGGATCGCATTCTGATAAGGATAGCGCCTTGCACCCAGTGCTAAATCCATCTCTTCTTCCTTTCTCGTATAACGACCAGCTCAACGTTCCAACGACCCTCGCGACGTAAAAGAACGCAGCAAGAATAGACCAGGCATATTCCCACTTCGCAATCATACACCAGCCCCGATTCTCTGGCCACGCTTCGTCACAGCTTCGGGTGAGATACCACGGCCTCTCGCTGAAGTGATGAGGATCGCTTAGATCGGGTTCGTTCTGCGCGGCGGCACTGCAGGCCCATAGGACGCCGAGGAAGGCGTCGTATGCGAGGTTCGTCCATCGGGCTTCGTATTGCAGGACCGCCATCGTTAGGCGGGCGAAGAAAATCGTCGCTCCGAGGACCGCGGTGGCCATGTCGGAAGTCGTCAACCTGGATGAAGCGATGGGTTAGCGTTGAAGCTTCAGCAGAGTGATGGAAGCACGCGGAACCTCACCTCTGGCTCCATATCAAGGGTATCTCGGGTGGCTCTTCATGGTTGGCATAGAAGTATATCCGCATTCTGGGATTCGAACACCATCCTTGCTCACCGCCGTTCCTCCAGAGTCGCGAGCGGAAGCGATCTGGGTACGCCACGCCGAATAGCACGAGAGCGGCGAAGACGACGACAGCTTCGATACACAACAAGACCACAATCAGGTCTGGACGATGGATCGATCCTCTCAGTCTCTGGCTCATGATTAACAAATTCTTAATGACCAAGGTATTGTGAATAAGAAGGTATCGGCTCTTCGGAGAGGAGAACCGAATACGCAGACGCAGATACGAACGCCATGATGTCTAGAAGCGGCATCGCAGCGACGGCCCAGGCTCTCTTATTCGATAAAGGAAGCTCGTTTCGCTGGTGACGACGACAATGACAAGGGAACTGAATGCCTCAAACTTGCTCGATATTGGGGGCGGGGAGGTGGTTCGTCTTTTACATCCCGAGGACGGCGACTTCGGTGCTGGGGCGACTTGACTTTTAGGCGTGGGGAGACTGACTGGTGAGGTGGTGAGGGGTTCGGGAAACTTGCTCATTCTTGCGCAGTTAGGCGGCTTCCACATGCCGCATGACAGACCACCGATCTCTTATTGTCTGCAAAGAGGCTCTGTGTATGGAATTTTAAGTAGACTTGTTTTTCCTCATGCTTCTGCAAGTCATTTTTGGCAAGGTTCACGTACGGGTGAATGCATGCCCACAGTCGTACGGTCCGGCCCGCATCACCTCATTTCGGGCACCTGAGGAGCCGCCGATTCCGCACCGGACCCGAGAACTCTGCACTCCAGACGTCGAGCCTTTTGGGTACCGATAGAGCTTGTCTTTGCGACTCTCAGATTATTGATGGATTTTTCTCCAGCGTCAAACAATGAGGAGCCGTTCGGCCTTGCTCGACTTCAAGCTTGGCTACTGATTACCTGAAACTGGACCTGGGTCGGAGGAGGGGACTATACGCTGTCTTGCACTTCATCTCATTGGTAGCCTGACCTCTTGAGAAGTGTCAAGAGCTATGTACAACTAGAATCTCAATGTCATCGAAGACTCATTGTAAGAAGGTGGCAGCTGCCAGTCGCTATCTCCTAACGTAGAGTCTAGTCTCCAGCTGGGCCCTAAATCAAAGATGACCGTATCTTCTTCGGCGTGCTTGCAACTGCTGACCGCCATAACAAGGCTTGCTTTCCTTCTTTCATTTGGTGTTTTTTTTTGAGTCTGAAGCAAGGGTTCGACGTTAGCTACCCGTAGCTCCAAAAATGTGATCTATTGAGGAGAGGAGGACATACTAGATCGTGCTCTGCACCACACCGAAGTGAGCAAGCACCCTAGGCAATCGTCCGTGCTTTCACAACCAACTCACTGGTACCAGCAAGCAGTGACAACCCCAAACTCCTCCCTCTGCCTCCTCAAAAGCTCATCCCTTTCGTGCCTGATAGCAACAGCATCTTCCTCCTCAAGGAACCCCATTGCTACGCCCAACTAAGACGCAACAATCGGTCTCGGCATCCCCATGCCACCAAACAACAACGCGCCAGGAACCTCGGCGTAGGCGAACGAGAGCAGCTCCGCCGTAAAGCGCGAGATGTCGAATTGGTTGAAGGTATGATCGCGCACGCCTTTAATCTTGAGGAGGTGGCGGCGGGTGCGATAGTAAGCCATCGTAGCCCAGACGTAGCTTCGCTCGGCGACGCGAGCCGACTCGGCGGTCATCCAGTCGAGGTAGCGCGTTAGATGTGGGATGAATGCGGGCGGCACTGTCAGGACGCGGGTGATCGTGAGCCGGTCGCGGGAGTAGGCTGTCGGACAGGTTGTGAAGGGGCGAAGGCGATAGAGAATACCGCTTTCATTGTCGATATCAGCGCTTCTGCTGGCGTATTGATTGCCATTTGTGAGAATGAGCTCATCAATGGTTGAGTCGGAGGTGTGCCAGTAGAGGTCCCAGTGAAATTCTTCAGTGGAGAGGCCCTGGGAGACCATGAGCTCGTAAGTGCTGAAGGGGAAGTTCGGGTCGTCCGGAAGACTGGTCGCGTAGATGTGTTTCTTCTTGCCGAAGTAGATGGAGAATGGGATCGAGATCATGATGTAGAGGGATCCGACTTCGAGTCTGTCCATGATGATCGGCGGGTGGGTTGAGGGCGAGTAGGGCGCTGCTGGAGACTCCGTTTCGATGACGCTGAAATTTCTCAAGGAAGAGGAATGGTGCTGGAGTGAGGTTGATATGAGAGTCAGTGAGGTGAAAACAAAGTGAGAATGAGGATGAAGGTGGAGGATGGGTTGAGATGAGGTGTGTGGAGTAGACAAGAAAGACATGCCCATATCCAACATGATGGTATCGAGGTTAGTAAGAAGAAACGAAAGAAGAATCCTGTTTCAAATTGAGAAATTTATTACCAGAACGGTATTCATGTAACACGCAGCTACCAGTACTTCTAGACCAGGCCCCGGCAAAAAACATGAATTTCTCAGCTATCACATCTGAGCCTCTGAGGTACCTGCCTCCTTAGTCGCGCTTCACAAGAACAGTCGATGAACAAAAAGAACACTTATCTTCCCCCCCCCCCCCCCCCCCTTTTAAAAAAGAGAAAAAAAGAGAAAAGAGAGAGAGAGAGAGAGATATATATATATACCTATAAAGGCTTGCAAAGCCACTAAGTTTCAACTCAAGAGTACCTTGCTAGTTTCTCGGAATTCAACACTATAATAGATATTTTGCCATTGCTCCCAGTCTTTCAGCTCGATGTAACCGCAGCCTACTCTATGAAATATGAATCGGCCATCCAGTAAATGACCTGTCTTCTCAACAAATATACCCAAAACAAAGTCGCAAGACTTAAGGGTGGCCGGATCTCTCCCACTATCAGCCATCAAGGGGCAAAAGGTCACGTGAGCACCCTCAGTGGGGTTTTGATAGTCATCCAGGAAAGCCGTGAATTTTCTGGCGCAGTCAATGATTCTGGAATATGCTGTTGGGGCGAAGGTATAGACCGTACCACCGCTCTCATCACGATGCAGCTGCAACTGTCCTTTCATTTCATAGACCTGAAGTTGGAGCAGGATGGTGGAAATTTGCTGATGACCTGTGCCTGGGCTTTGTATCACGTACCTTTCGAATGAAGCGAGGGGGGAGGTTACCATTGTCCCAAAGACTTCATGCTCGAAAGATATCGGTCCGTCCATAGAGGCCCAACTCCAGGAAGGAAACTTGACCCCGTTGGTCCATCTCCCATCAGAGGCTACTTGAGATCTTCTGGTTGCCCTGCCCCTTTTGAGGTTCACGTGTATCCTGCCAACACTCCAATATAAGCTTCTAATCAAGCTCTTGTTGAAGTGGCCCCAGATGCATACATCGTCCATTGCCTGGCCCAAACGTAAGGCCACTGCAGACAACGCCACAAGCTTGTCTGATTCTGGGAACGTGAGGTCACGGTTGGTATATTCCTCCACAACTCGGAACCAGACAGTGGTGAGGGTCCAATTGTCTTTTGCCTCTATCGTTGACGGGACCGACGTCAGTTGCAGACCTTGAAAGAAGTTATCTTCGAGACGCAAACCATCCGGGAACGACTCGCATGCGTGTTGGCATTCGGCACAGCTCCAAAACAACTCTCCGCAACCGAACCCGAGAACACGCGGCGACAACAATCTTTCTTGCAACGCCCACCCTCGGGAACCCAGTGGTTGGCGATAGAGCGCGTCTTCATAATAGCTAGAAGAGAAGACGACACATGAATGATGAATGGACTCATCTCTATCGAAAATACATCTTGTATCAACTTCAATGGGTGGCATAAAAGGTGGCACACCCCCTCGGAATGTACTCTCATGTGGATTTGCAGCTCGGTACAGCGCAAGGCAGAGTATGCTGTTTGAGTATACGTCCGCCATCCGTGAGGACTCATGGGCCCAGTCTTCAGTACTTCCGGGCCCACTCTGAATGATACACAGCGAATCGATCCAGATGTACAAGATATTGAGGCATCGTACGGCTTTGAGAGCTTCACAAAAAGCTATCGGAAGCTCATCGTCGGCGATCCCTGCCCGCAGCCTATTTTGGTTCCAAGCGGTGAGACGGAGGAATGAAGGATTCGAGCCCCAACAATAGCTGAGTGCAGCATACGGCCCAGAAATCGGTGTCGTCTCGGGATCGATGAGCCGCAAACCTGATTTATCTATCTCCAGCAAACGGGTGGGATACGACTTTGGTTGGCCTTTGACGCGACATTCTGCATGTCCTGTCAAGCACGTACTCATCCAATACCGCACCGCCTTCAAGGCTTCCAGTTCAGGTATGATGCCGTTCCTAACAGCGACGCTGGAATTGACGTTTACGGATGATTTTGGATAAACACGGAAGTGGCGCGAGAATATACCGCCTGTCTGATATAAAATAGTGAAAGTGAGCCGAGCAAAGGACTCAGAGCCTGCTCGATTGAAGGCAGTCCGATACATCCATGGGCCCGTGAAGATATCGAGTGAGTCATGCATGTCCAGTGTTCGAAGAAGCAATTCGCCGCAAATACGACACCCGCTCGCGGCTGACCTGGAGAGCGAGATGCTATCTTTATGATGGATCTTGTATCCCAAGTCGAACGCGATTCCGTTGAATATGAGACCACGGAACATCGGCATGCATACATTGCAAAGCATACTTCTCCAAGTAAGATACCAATCTAAAAAGTCCGATGTAGTTGGCGCTGGAGTTGAAATTGTCTCCTGATCTGGTACTACACTACCTACTTAGGTGAAGTTGGGAAGACTTAAGAAGACCACGTCGTGGAGTAGCGAACAAGACTCGTAGTTGAAGACATTGTTGTATCAGAAATGTGATGTTGCTTTTCTATGAAACCGACGAATCACTTCGAATAAGAAGATGATTTCTCACCGAAAATTACCACTTTCTTTCTGCTGATTCGTACATGTGCCATGAGATCTTAACGGACTACTATTGGCTGCCTTAGTCTTGTCGTCACTCCCGACTCTGCGGAACGCCACAAAATTTAACTTTATGTACGCTGGAGGTGAGTAGACTCCCTCTTGTTTGAAATATCCTTTAGTCTTACTCCAATAGTGCTGATCAAAGACGATACTAGCAGAGACGGCCATACAGCAGCCTGCAGGCGCCGGTAATGATCGGGTTTGAATCCACTTTAGAAGTAACTGCCCGACCACGGAAGATGAATGGTTCCTAGATGATAAAACGATAATTTTGATCAGTACAAGGGCTTAGAAGAAAAATGATGATATCAGCATGGCAGAAGTCATGCCAGCCTCTCATGAGAGTTGAGAATTGTGCATCAACGCTAAAAGGCAAAGACCCATTCTAGCTTTTCTTCAAGGTCCCACTGACCTCTTAATCTATGGCCTCGAAACACTTTTCTGCAATTTCAATCAGCACAATTGCTCGGATTTTGAGATCCACGGACCATGAAGTGGTATCGACCCGATTTCTCCGACCTACTCGGGTCTCGTGGAGGCGGTGAATGTTGGATGCTGTAATCTCTTTAAGCTTTTTATTTTCTCAACCCGGTGGGATGTAGATTGCATATTGGGTCACAATCTCGTTCTTCTCGAATTATCTCTGAGGTAAGTGAGGCGAAGCTAGAGTATATAAGAGCCGCAAGGTTGCAGCTCCGACTGATGTAGTATTTAATACTCATGCGAAAGTACACTCCGTCCATTAAACAATTCGCCAAGCGCTCATCCGATTGACCGTTGCCATCGACTCATCTTCAAAATGCTCTCACAATACATCTTCGTCATCATCGCGTAAGTAACTTAGCTAAGCCTCTATTAATTAACCCCTGCCAATATGAATACACGCTTACCTTGTCACCCACAGCGCATGCGCTGCCGGCTCGTTCGCATCTATCGCGACCTGTAAAGGAAGCTTCTACGCCGGCGCCTGCCAGGACATCTTCGCACCTGGAGCTCGTCACGACGCACTCACGCAGAGCTGCTGCCAACCTCCCCATGGTACAACTTACCATGATGGCCCCGGAACATTTGTTCGTCCTCCGCTACTTAGTTTGGTTTAACAGAACAATGATAGCTGACATCTCATCTAGTGCTGCACCAATGCCGACTCCTCAGCTATTGCCTACTTGTCTTCATGCTGTTCCAACGGCGGGAAGAGACAGATCAACTTCAACCCCGTGCGTGGCGACTGAGTTCTTGATGTCGCAGGTCCTCTCTAGTGCATTTGAGTGAGGCTATTGGCAATAGAGCTGAACATGAGGAGACAAGAGGCCCTGCGAACAGGCTATCTGGGCACATGTGTCCCACTATCTTTCTTTTCTTTTCTGGATTACTTGTGTTAATTGTGTTGTAAGTACGCACTACGGAGTATATTAGTATCGAGGGGCGCGGAGCAAGCTTAACAATGCATTGGCGCGCAGAAGACTGAATATTCCTGCTGACCAGACCTTCCTTTCTGTTCGAAAAGGGGCCGAGAACCCTCCAAAGTCAGTGCAAAGCTTACTCAATACCTAATAGCAAAGCTTGATTGCACGCACATGCACTTGTATCTACAAAATTGCCTGGATCGCAAGTCATCCTTGTTTTTCGGTGATGGCTCGTTTCACATTCTACCCAAATCGGGGTGATATACCCGCCCAGGGCCCCATCGCTTGTCATTGTCGGTCCTTGGCTCCCCACGAATTCTATCACATGGCGCTGAGGGACGTTCCGCCTTCCAAATCAAGCACTCAAGGTGTTCTGCTCCGCCCAGATGCTAACACGGGCGAATTATTGCTCCGACTACCATATTCGCGGTCGTTGACTTAAGATATTCAAGACCACTGCGTGTGAAGTTGCAATCATTTCCATGAATGATGCAATCACACTGGACTGAGTGTCTCATAAAGCTGGCCCTCACTGATGCGACTTCCAGCACGTAGTAGTGGCAGGGCTACATCTTTCCGCCGTATGATTACAAACCTCGAACCAGAGGCTCTGTGATCTACTACAACTTTCAATCAGATGAAGAGATCCAGACTAAGTAGGAGTCATAAGATTTTCGACCTCACGTTACTCTACGCGCGGGTGGGATGGCCGAGGCCAAGAGTGTCACCTAGACGCTGATCGTTTGTCATTCGTGACCTGTCAGGCTGTGCAAGGATCAACCCTTCGCTTAGCCACATCGATACTATCTTGGCTTCTGACAACGCAATTAAAGTGAGAAGCAACCAGAAAGTTATGTGGGATTTCCTCCTTTGATAGACAACAATAGGAAAGTTGGCAAACCTAAAAGAACGACTGAATCGAACCAATGTGACCGCGTGAAATGATTCGAGGGGTGTGCGGGCAAGTGGACTACCGCCCAACTTCTCACCTTTACAGTGTTCATCCGGAGTGATCCAACCCCTGGGCCAAGACAACTCAGGCTATGTACCGATTCTTTTATAACACGACCATATTCCCAGTCTTCTAGAAAGCCTTTCTCATCATCAACCATTCCATCAACTCACTCAACCCAACCTCAATCACTCCTTCAAGTCTTCTCAAGTTCCAAATCTTAAACATGAAGTTCTCAATCGTCGCCGTTGTGCTTCCCCTCATCGCGGGCACGAGCGCTGCCCCGTCAGTCGTTGAGCGCCAATCCCCTGCATGCGTGGCCTACAGCGGCAAATTCCCCCACGAGCTTGTCTGGGGGCAGTGGTTCCTTTGCTGCAACTACAATGGTCCTGATACCGCAGTACGTCAATTTTCAGTCTTCAACAACAATGGCTTTCCCAAGTGGCGTTACGTCTTTACTAACGAGGCCATAGACCTACCAGAACTGCTGCGACAGACAGGGTGCGGGAACTGGAAGCGGGTTCCCCGGGTGTGCTTAGACTTAGAGCCTATGCATTCGGTTCTTGTAAATAAAACTCTCGCAATGTTTGCGGGCTTTCACAACAATCAACTCTAATTGCCGCCACAATTCTTTTTATACCAAATCCTGACCTTGGAGGCTAAAATTTCATTCGCTATGGAATGGAAGACTCCGCTGAATATTGCAAGTTACTTCACCCTAAGCTAGTACATTTCTGAAGCGGCACAATGTTGAACTTGCTTTCGTCAACAATCAGCATCGAGGTGCCATGCTTCCATAAGTATAACGACCACGGAAACAAGGACCGCAACACCTACTAGTACATACAAGTCAACACGCACTGCATAGCGCCGCTCCTTCGGAGAGCTAAAGTGGCGTACATTGTCGCGCTTAGACGAGCGTTCACGGCAGTACTTGTTCATTACAACTATACTACACGCATTTGCTACATAAAAACTACAATGAATTTACTCGCGAATCGTAGTAGTCGCGGCTCGTCAGGTCGTATAACTCGACCTGCTTAAGCCAGCTCATTTACGACTAGCAAACCGCATCATACCTGCTCCAACGTCGAACACAGTCACGAGGCTGTTCATCATGGTGTCACCCAAAATGTAAGGGCCCTCGCCGCCGTCGGTGACACCAAGCAGACAGACAAAGGTGCCGTCACCATTGTCAAGCGGGTCGCTACGCTGGATCAAATCGGCTTTGTCGGCGTAGAAAGTGTGCCCGTTGATCACAATGCCAAAGTCTGGTACTGTAGCATCACAGGGAGCATAATATGCGCCAGAAAAGATGTCGTAGAAGGAGTTGGGAATTCCAGCTGCGAATGCATCGGAGATATCTGGGCAAATAGGTAAGCTTGGCGATCCATGCTACTGGCTGAGCACTGTTGAAGGGTTTCAATTCTACTTACCAGAAGGCACATACATCAAAGTCGTGCCACTGTCGACAATCGTGGGAGTTGTACTGTTGTAAAACCCGGCAGGCTTAGAGACTGCGGTATTCCACTTGCTTGCAGCCAGGGTCTGGTTAGTAGTAGGGGCCATGGTCACGTTCTTGATGACATATCCGTCAGGAAGGATGGTGTAGAAAGAGTACTCGGTTTTCGCCTCGGGCCTGTGAGATAAGAGGGCGACCTGACCTTATGTTAGCTTCCCATCATGAAGCGTACGTTTCCGCACTGGCACTTTCCAAGCTTTGAATCACTCACCATTCGGATAGGCGTGCTGATAAACTTGCCCTTGGTCTCGACAGGAGGCAATCCGCCGAAAGCCAATTGACCGACCTGAGACTTGCTGTCCATGGCCATGCTAAAGAGGTCGGGCTTGACGATGCCCTTCTTGGACATAGTCGTGAAGATGGAGTCATAGTAGACGGATTTGCCGGTCGCATCGTCGTACTCGCTGGTGAGTAAGTCATAGGCGAGGCCGAGCAAGCCACTAGCGACGTTGTCGCCGTTCCAGTAAGTCTTGTTGACCAAGGCAACTTCTTGGTGCGGCACCTCGAGACCGGCAAGGGTGATGTCCTGATAGCCCATGAGGCCTGTGGCAAATTCACCGTCACCGTAGGTGATGTTGAAGTGAACACCAGGAATGGAGCCATGCTGGAACGTACCGTTGTACGTGGGCCCGAAGTTGCACAATGAGGTCTGCTCGTGACGTTTGCGGGTCAGCTCCGCCTAAAGCAAACTTCTCCCCTGTTTATGGTATTCGTTACTCACGTCGTTCAACCTGTTGCCGTTAGAGTCTTGGCAGATAAAGTCCTTCTGGACAGCCCATGTGTCACTTGATCCGGAGTCGACGATCACTTGAAGAGTCTCATCACCGAAGAGGATGCTGGCGATATACTCGTAGCCGTTCAAGTCGGTCAAGTTTGTGACATGGCCTGTCTTGTACATGCCGTTCGAGCCAGGCCCATTCCGAATGGACTGAATCCATGTCTGAGCCGGGGAGGCACCAACAACTCTGTTTAGTTCGAGAACGTGAGGGGACACTTCCAAGGGCTCGCTGTCGACGTTGCGTTTCTGCAGGGACGACAGGTCGACTTCGGTGATGTCGAACGGAAGGGGTGCACGGGATGCGGCCGCAGCAGAGCAAATCAGGCTCGCCGCTGATGCGATAGCGGCCATGGACTTCATAATGAGCGTAAGGGGTGGGTGATAGGATGGTGAAGTCGTGCGTGTCTCCAGTTCCATGCAATGGTTGTAGAACCGAAGTGACGGTCTACAATTTGCCGATTAGACACCGTGCTTTTATATCTGTCTTCGAGGCGCATTCGGCCACAAGAGTTCGCGATCACTGTTCCGCCAGATGGGTATGTTGGTTGTTCCACTACAAGCACCCATCCGGTGTTAGCCGAATATCCGAATCCTCAATAATTCCGTCGCTCGTGTGATTGATAAGACGTGGGAGTGAAGGGGACTCTCCTGCCCGAACAGGAAGGAGGGGGTTCTGGGACATGGGTGGTGTCTGGGGTACGGTTCAAGCTTTGGCTAAGCTTCGGTGCCGATCTGCCGATTCGTTGAGCTAGTACAGAAGGTCCGCGAAGATGACGATAAACATCTATCTACGGCAGTTCAATAACGCCTATTAGATATCTTGAATGTTTGTCAAACTCAAAATAAGTTGGATCGATGACCATCATCATCGAATGACGAGTCTGGCTGATAGTGTGGGCTCCTTCATTGATGAGGGATAGATCGACAACACGTCTCAAAACTTCAGTGCTAGCTTCAGCTGAGGAACATCGACCAAGGGTCCGCTTTATCTTAGATAGCACCTTCAGCAAGAATACAAAGTCCCCTGTTGATGGGCTCTGCGTAACGGCAGTCTTGACCATACTCCCAGCCGTATGTTCCGGCAAGATTGCACAATGCCCACGCACGATCAGGCTCTGGGCGCAAAACGGTGACACTAATCTAGAGGCCCAATGGCCTACTTACAAGTGAGTTTCTTGGGTTTGGGGGGAATGTTTAGCTCAGGCGTGTAACAGACCTAACATTCTGGTTGCCTGAAGAGTGGGTTAGATCCGCCCTGGTACTTATGATTAGACGTAAATGTGTACCCATTATTAATCCTGAACCTGAACTGGGCATTTACAAATTAAGAAAGCGGTAGTGAGTCCACACGATCCCGAAGAAGGTCCCGTCCTTGTCAAATATACCAGAAATCCAGCTACAAATGTTTCTCCGTCAACTAAAGGCCGCGCTTGAACTCCCTCATGTCATCCTCGTCCTCAGGAATACCTATAATATTCCCTCGGGCTTCGTCGCTGTCTGAATCAGAAACTTTACTCAAGACTTCGTCCAGCCTGTGTCGCACGAGAATATCTTGAAGACCACGCTCGAGCTTCTCCGTCGACTCACTTAGAAACGCTTTGATAGCCAGAGCTGAAAACATGGGGACTATATCGTTGACAGCTTGATGAACTGCGCCCCTTCGAGACTTGGTGACCGAGACACCGTTTCTGATGACCGTGAAATTGCTTTTCGCATAAGTCGTGGCTGCCTGCTCGACTCTTTTGCTACTCATCGTCTTTCCACCACTTCTATACGCGCTTTCGAGGACAAGTATCAAATCGCATGCGCATTTAAGAAGCATCCGCGCGGCTGCCGGCGCTTCGAACAGCAGCGCCCCAGCTGCCAGGGGTATGCCGCCAACAAGTGTAAACAAAGTCAGGCAAACGGCGCCACCGCAGACGAAGATGGACTGCCCAACGGCCTGAGCCATAAAAGGCGCTAGGTTTCTCCACACTACTTTTGCCAGTATCTCATCCATGTCTTCGATAATCCTTTTCGGTAGGCCGAAACAACCCTGCGCAATCTCGCGGCAGAGAACGCGGGAAATAGTTGGCGTTGTGACTGCCGATACGACCCCTGTCCCAAATCCCGCTGACGCTGCTACGACGACCGACTTGAGTATGCGTAGCGTCTTTCTGACGGCCAAAGCTACTTTTGCCTCAATGTCCGAGACCTGAGCAGCACACATTGCCTCAGATATAGCAGTATGTTCGAGAGATCTCATTGTCACGTGTATCAGGTTCTTGATGGATACTTGATCATCTACAGGAGTTAGACTATCAGAAGCAAACAGATCCAAGAGCTTATGCGTTCGGGGTGTGGTTTTTACTAAACATACCACGGGAGACGAAGCAGAACTTCACATCCATTGGAGGCCAGAACGTGGAGGTATCTGGCTCAATCTCGAATCTCTTTTCGAATAGCTTCTTCCTGCTTAGAATGATGGCTTCTTCGGTTTGCGATGCCTCCCCTGCTCGATTCTGACATAGCAAGAGATGCTTATCCTTCTTGGTTCCCACGATTACGATCGGAGTCAAGGGCATGTACTTCGTAGCCAATTCCAAGACTTTTGCTAAGGCTGCTTGTACTGGACGATCGGTGTCTGTGTCGATGCAAAGCCTGTAGAAAGAATGCTAAGACTTAGACCCGTAGAAGATTCCCAATTCCTAGGGGAATACGCCTTACCATATGGCATGAAGGTTGTCTTCGACCTTGACATTATTAGTCCTAGCCTTGAGGAACTTCTTCAGTTCATCAACCTCCTTAGTGTCGCCTGTCTGAAAGCCTTCAGAGTCGTGAATGATGATGCCAGGATGCTGATCCGACTCAAAGCCCACTTTAATGTCGTGCTTGCCTCTCTCAGCATGATTGACATTGGTCTAGGGATGACGAAATGAATCATTAAAGACATGGTCGAAAGAGGTATATCGCTGCTCACCATTTCTATTCCAAAGACACGATTCAGTAGCGTTGACTTGCCGACGCCCGCATTGCCGCAAATTAAGATCCGACAGCTTGTGAAATCTGGGAGAACTTCTCTGATCCATGGGTCCAGTGTCACTTGCGCATTATTCCGGAAGTGCGACAAGCTAGCTTTTTCTCTGTAGTCGTCCAGATGATCCCGCAAACCCTTCAGAGCTTGCTGAATTCCAAGAGTCGGATAGGTGTCCAAAAGAAAGTATACCGATGGATGCACGACCGTCCCGTTGCGCGCTACATTGAAAGATCTTCAGAGCCATTCATAGACAGCTGTGGAAGAAGATTTGAGAACCAAGTACTCACAAAAACTACTGTATCCCCGAAGCGTTCCGAAGTCATCGGCTTCAAAGATGTCTCGTTTCCCCAGCCTCAAGCCAGAGAGGAGACCTGAATTGATATTGACCCAGTGGGGGGGCAAAAGCTTTTTCCCTGCAACCTGCTGCCAACTCCGTTCTGAGCTATTTGGCTTTCGAAGTTTTCGCATTGGAATTCTCTGTAGATTGCCATGACGATGGGATTCACGAAGGTCATGCATAGAGATTTCGATCCCATTCGAGTACTTGAACGTCCAAGGCTCGTCCTTAACGGGATCTACGTCGGGAACGTATGCCTCAACGCCCTCAACCGATAGAAGCGGCGGCGGGTCTGGAAACGCTAGCTTCAGAGGGTTTTCGATCAGACCTTTGAGGCGACCCTCGGGGTTGTGCTCCAGGATCAATCCCTTTCCTTGGCTCTCAATGAGAATCCACTGAAGAGGGTAGAGAGACAGACCATCGTGCTCGGCTCCACCGCCCATGTCTGCGTGCGCACCAACAAACCAGGCTTGTAAGTGTGAGTCCTGTTCTCTTCCAGTCATGGCCCTCTCGTTTGTGATCAGTGGTAACAGAGGGAACATCTTTCTCTCCTCGTTGAGAGCGACTGCATGTCGAACATGTTGGGCAAAGCTCACATCGATTCCTACGGTTTCGTAGAACTTGTCCTGAGCGATGACCATCCTAACTGTATCAAAGAGACCTATGAACTTGATCTTCGGAGGCGGTCGAGTATGTTCCAGACTGCACAAAACATGATCAGATGGCTTTTCCGGTTTCGTAGTGTGTGTTCCGGGACCAGCTACTCACGCGAATCGGTATTCCTGTCCGCCCATCGTACGCCGTTCGTCCCGCTTCAGTCCCGCAAGACGCTTCAAGTTGTCCCACTTGGACTTATCCGTGCCATCGGGTAGTCCGTCGACTGCTTTCAATGTGTACTTATGAAGAAGGGCAGCAACGGCTCGAACGACATCTAGCATATCGAATCAGGTTATGCCCTAAGGGTCTGAGGATGACAGGTGCGTACAAGCCCCGCGGCTAAAGCCAAACAGCCACACTTCGTCGTCTTCGGACTTCATCTCTTTGCAGCAAAACTATAAGCAATCAGAATGACCCTAGGTCAATAAGACGACATAGTCATAGAATTATTCACATCATATACTTCTCTGATCTGCTCCCCACAGCCCACACCAGTGATGCCGTCATTCCATGTATCCAGGGGCTTCTTGTCGACACCGATACCTTGAAAGTACCTTACAATCTAACGATGCCGTTGTCATTAGCAGCCCACCTGAGAAATCCCCGAGGATAACAAATGAATGTACCTGCGTGATCTTGTTGCCTCGCCCATCAGTCGTCTTCCCTCTCTTGATCGAGGCGTAGATGCGGAAGACATTGCTGTTGTTTCCATAGCCATTGCCTTGAGAAGAGTAAGGGTCAGTTGCTGAGAGCTCAAGTCATTTGGACATGCTCACCTTCTCTTCCATCCTCATTGTACCATGTTCCGTCAACGCAAACCACGATTCTCCTGACGCCGTTCGATCCAACCATGTTCCGTGTGTGTCTCAGGAGATGACTTGTTCGCAAAATTGCGAGCTTGAAAAGGGAAGGCAGGCGGCTTTTCAGATTTTGCAGCACAGGAAAACCTCATCCCACTACCTGGTTCTTATTCATTTAATAGGCTGGCTGTTATTCTCTTCTCCAAGTGAGACATGCTCGACTGCGTTGATCGGCTTCGCCGATGTATTTTGGTGCATATGCGGAATTCGAGTGTTCATCACACCCTCCCTTTCTGACAACCCCTCAATTTTCTCGGACTATTAGCGAATCAGGTGTAACATACAATGAGGCACACCAGCAGGCTCCGCAAGCCAAAGCAGCAGGCTGTCGTGACTTCTGTCAAAAATAGCCTCTAGTCAGCAAGCTGTCTTGTTGGATGTGTTAGGTACGAGCTTCTTGTTCAATGTGACACATTACCTAGACGAGTATCTTACATGTACATAATACAGGGAGAGTAGAGAAGCGGAGAGGAGCAGAGCGCTGTCCATGCGAGTTCCCGAGAAGAAACCCTGTTTTCACCGTGTAACAGATAATACCTTACTCTTCGCCTAAGTACACGCAAGCACCTACAGGCTGCTTTTGCTCATATTTGCGAAATGCTTTCGCCTCTTCTTACTTATTCAGACACGTGCTTTCAGATATATGGAACAAATAGAGGTGATACTTTAGTCAAGTTCATCCGTTTTTAAGTACATTTCTTCGTGCGGTTTTTGATACATCGCAAAGCGAGATCTAAAGAGTTCTATCACCTTATTTACCATGTATTCAAACTGTAAACGCACAAGTGTGTAGTTTCGTGAACGCGAGGTTCCTTTTGTTCAGTCATGGCATAGAAGATTGGTCGGCTCGCGAGCAAAGCCTGTCTTTAGAAGACGAAACATACGTTCAGCAAAACATTGACTCATTGACACATGGCGCCTTTCTTAAGTACTTCCTGTACAGGTACCTAGTCCCCTTTGTGACTTACTCGTACAGCGTTGCCTGGTGGCTACATCTCTTTCGAGGAAGCCTATAGCCTGGGCCAAACGGCCGGGGTGTCAGCTGTATTGACCATCACTTTCCGCTCACGGCTGCGCGCCAACGCCTTACACTACACATGCAGGCTGAGACGCCTGAAAAGTTGTCATATCCAATCACATCCCAGTCAGGGCAAAATTAGCTTAGGAATAGCACAGTTTTCAGTGGTGGTGGCTAGCGGGTACGGGGATTGCTTGCAAATAGGACAGATACGGTGACGCCAGACGGCTTAAGCCTCCCAAGGTCTTGGCATCTCAACTGCGTCTAAGAAGGAAAGCAATAGCCAATGGCAGTTTTTTTTCCTAGCAGTGGCTTGACCAAGTTGTCACCGAGAGCGCCTCTGATGTTCAATAGGTACACAGAGAGCCAAGACGGAACGGCACAGCTCTATCAGACCGGTTCGTAATATTGTCAATCACACATCCGGGGCTACAGCGGCCGTTTGCAACCAGACAGAACAGCGAAAATGAAATGTGGTGACAAAGTCAAAGTGACCAAATAGCTTGTTGCTAAGGGTTTTAAAAAGTGTTTGTGTGTCACGACATATGTACTGAGTTGGCCTCCAAAGACCCCCGTCGTTCTCCGTCTCGTCTCAACAAATTTGGCGTTCATAAGCCTCCACTCTTGAGGAGATACGCCGCACTTCCACTTCCCGGCCGACTCACAACAACAGCACCCTCCTTCTGCTCCTCAGTAAGCTCGCGCTTGGAGTAGTATTCCCTCTCCCACGCCTCCTTGACAGCAGCAACCTTGTCAGCAGGCACCATGTGGACTGTGCAGCCACCCCAGCCAGCACCGGTAAGTCTGCTGCCATAGGATCCGTTTTCGCGCGCAATGCGGCAAAGCTCGTCAATCTCAGGGGCACTGCACTCGTACAAGTCGCGGCATGAGTCTTGTGTGGCGTTAAGCAGGTCGCCGAGGCGCTTGTTGTAGGCCGTGGTGTCAGAGGTATCCTTCGGCGCCTCCTGCTCCAGAACCTTCATGAACTGGAGTACGCGGAGAGCCTCCTCAAAGACGTGCAGGGCGCGCTGGCGGAGCTTGAAGCGGTCGGCGCGGACGGAGAGCTTGGACATGAAGATCTGCTCAAGCTCGGGGACGGAGACGCCCAGGACCTTGGCAATCTCCTCGCGGGTGTAGCCCTCGGTGCTGGTAAGGGCCTTCTTGGTGACGTCGATGAGCACGCGGAGCTGTGCCTCTGCGGCCTCCTCTGCTGATGCGCCCTCGGCGTGCGGGAGCTTGTTGTTGGCGAAGTAGGCTTCGTGAAAGCCGTGGAGAGAGATACCGAGCGGAGAAGCGTCGGTGGGGAGCTTTGTGCCGGCCGGGTTGAGGGCTGCGTTGAGGAAGGCGCCTGCCATGCTGCACTCGACGACGCGGAGATTGTAGTGGATGGGGCCGGTGACCTGCTTGTTGGAGGTGACGAAGGACTGGGCGATGAGGAAGGAGAGTTCCGGGTTCGTTGTCGGGAAGAAGACGGGGCGAGCGGTCAGAGAGGGGCTGAAGGACACGAAGAGAGCAGAACCGCGCTGGGAGAAGACGGAGGCGGACTGGTCCATGCTGGATGGGTTGGTTGTTAGATCGAAGACGGGTTGATGAAGGGGTTAAAAGGGACGACTCACCCGCCAGAGTTGACACCAACGGCACGCTCACTGACGATGGCAAGCTCAGTGAGCTCGGTCTTGTCAACAGTCTTCTCGCCGTTGGCAAGCATGACAGCCAATGCCGAGGCACTAACGAAAGCAGCACTAGAGCTGAGACCACCGCCAACGGGGACGTTACCGTCCATGAGGATCTTCATACCCTTGGGTCTGAAGTCCTTGCCATGCTTCCGACGCAGCAGCTCCAGGGCGCCACTCAAGCCGCTCTTGAAGTAGTTGGACCACTCGTGGACCTTGGAGTCGATAGGAACATCGGCGCCGATGGGGACTTCAAAGGTGCGGGAGGGGTACTTGTCGGACTGGGCGTTTGCGACGCGGAGGGTGAAGGTCTCGGAGTCAGCGGGAGTGTCGGTGATGGAAAAGGCGAGGATGGCATCGGCGGTGATTGCCATAGGGAGGACGGAGTAGAGGGAGTAGTCGATGTGCTCGCCGATAATGTTCACGCGGCCGGGGGAGCGGGCGACGACAGAGGCCGGGTGACCGTACTCGGACTCGAACTGTGAGAGCAGAGACGACCAGCGCTTGGTCTGAATGGGGAGGGCATCGTCTGTGTAGATGTCGGCGAGGGCGCTCGCGGTGGGAACGGGACCGGCCATAGCGGGCGAACGTGTGTTTCGCTCGAGATCGAATGCGGATTGGGTATCTTTGCTGCCGAAGAGACGATGTTGAACAAGACGATCCGAACTGGCGAAAGAGTAGAAGAAAAGAAGAGATGAAAGAAGAGTGTGATGGTGATGGCTTGTGACGTTTTGGGGGCGAGTTTCTATTTGGATGGGGAGGTTGGGTGGGACGAGGCCGGTGGTTTGACGATGCGCCGTAATAACCCCGCGATGGAGCTTTGGTGTTTTTGCGGGTGCTCTCTCAACTTTGCTGCGCTGGAAGTGGTGCGCGTGTGCTGCCTCAAGCTGCTACCCCGCAATTGCCCCTCGTTTGGCGATCCCTGACTGAAGAATACTGGAAGAGCTTTGCCTCGAATGTCTCACCAATAAAGAAATCAAAAGAGCTCAGCTTAGAGTTTGGGAATCTTGAATTGAGTTCGATCTTCGGTCAGCACTGGACAACGAGCAAATACAATGATAGTCCCTCGAGTATACATGGCCTTGAAGACTCATGCAATGAATGCAGCAGCTTCATACAGCTTCAAACGCAGTGTTACTCTTCGGGACATTGACACCCCACCTCGGTCGATAATTCCACCGTCATGCAAAATCTCCAACAATTCCTATCTCATTTTCTCTTTGACAAGCCTGACAAGCGCTAGGGTAGCGTGATCCTCTAGACTGCATAAAGCAGCTCACCTTTCCGAACCATACCACACCAAGCTGGACCAGAAAGGTTGCCCGGCCCAGCAACCGAGAAGGACAAGGTGCGCTGATTTCGGCCTTCTGGGTTGTCCGGGGTCTCCAGCTTGAACTGGACAACGGCCCCGTTCCATTGCGGGCCGACAATCGGAAAACCGGCGGAGAACTCGAAAGCTGCCTCGGTTGCGATACAAAGCTAGCGCTAGCTTGCGCATCAAGCTTTTTGGACATGCTCTTTAGTTAAGATCAGGTGTAAAGGTGGGATTGATGGAAAACGGTATGAGATAACTCTTCTTCCGAAGCATCATAGTACGAGATACAATTTGACGCCACGAAATCTAGAATGCATGATTTCTCAACCAGCGAACGACAGCCAAGCCGTACCAGTGGAGTGACTGCACGCCATCACTGGCCTGGCGCATCGCCTGACTGGGTTCCAGGATCTTGCGCCATGCGGTGCGCGGGGATGTCGGGGGCGAGAGACTTTTGTTTTTTCTCCCTCTAGCGGGGATCTCGCGTTGCTGATAACCTGAATGGTATTAAGGTCTTCTCACATTGCGCAAAATGTGTTGCAACTTCAAATCGCAAAGCAATCTCGAATTGAATCTTTAGACATCATGTTACCTTGGATTGAGGCAAAAAACCGACGCCGACAAGTCAGAAAAGAAAACAAGAGAGAAAAAGGGAGGACCTGAAGAAAGAGGGAGACGCGAAAGAAAAAGGAGGAGAGCCTTAGCCAGAGAGAACTTAGAGCCCCTCAGGCTCTCTGCTCATTACAGGCGTTTCTAGCCTCCAAGGTTTCGTGGTGTAGTTGGTTATCACGTCAGTCTAACACACTGAAGGTCTCCGGTTCAAGTCCGGGCGAAATCATTTTTGCAATTTGATGCAATCTCTGAGTTGCAAGACCATGTTTTCACCTCTTATCATTGACCTCTTTACTAGATGATCGTCCTGGATCAATATTTGACTTCGCCGCGACCTCTCTGCTGAGGTGGACTTGTGTTTGTTACATATAGACCACTTGATAATAGCTCTAAAAATGACAGCAAGTTTGACTAGCAAATGTTTCGAAGACTCTCAGGCCAATGGCAACAGTTATGGTACCCTGATAAATTTATGCCTCAGACTATGGGGCTTGCAATCTTTTCAAATACTCAAAGGCACCGACTCGCTCCCCTAGATAATCTGCACCACCAATATCACTATGCAGTTTCCCAAGCTCTTTTCGTCCCACCCTTGCGAGCAGAATCACGACTGAGAAACAAACAAACGAGGCACTGGCAGATATCTGCCGGGTGAAGGTCTGCATGACGCTGAGCGCACCAAGTGTCTGCACATGGACCTTGATGTCCACACTTCCGGTGGCCCATACCAGTTTAGGTGTTCCATAACATGTTGTGAGCCTATAGTTGCTTTACAAAACAATGTCCCGTTTACACTACAGACAAATGCGCTTGAGACATTATTCAGATAAGAGCTAGCCACGGCTTCATGGTACTGAATAAGGCAAATCAACTTCCTGGATCTTGCGGGAACCCTACCCTGACTTCCTCAAGTCGAGAACCGGCCGGTGACAGCCTTGGCCGTCGGCTTCTTCTCAAACGCACTCCAGTCGTACCGCTTCAGAGACTCCTCAACGCTAAGAAGTTCCTTCTTGTCCTCCTCAGTCAATAGATCCATCCCCTCCACGATGGTGACTCCTTCCCACGTCGGGGGATAGTGATCCTGAATCCATTCAAAGAATTGCCATTGCGAAAGCTGCTCTTGAGCCATGGCGCCCCACAGTTCAACATAGCTTTGGGGAGAAACCTGCACGGCGGCGGTTGAGCCCTCCTCAGGCGCGAGCCCAGTAGCCCGTCCCCAGGCGGCGAGATAAGACTCCATAGTCAAGGTTTCAACGTTGCATCGGACAAAGGATCCTGGAGGAGGAGGGCTCTTCACCAGTCTTCGAACAAAAATGCCTCCATTGGTGACGGGATCTCCAACACATGGGTACGGCGTGTTGGGTGGCACTGGGTACAAGGTGACATACTTTTTGGCGCTCGGCTTTAACCTAGTCAGTATGTCTCTGATTATTGGGGCACTCAAATACTTTACTTACCACGTAAATCGGCTTGAAGATATCATAGAGCAGTGCGTTGTTCGCAAAGACAGTGAACACGGCGAAGGTGGTCTTGGCTGAAAGATCCGGCATCTCTTGTGTAACATACGAGACGATGCGCCCCTTGCCTTCGAGGTGGGGGCAGACAGCTTCCCCGTTGGTGATCTTGCTCGTGTGAGGCCCAGCGCTGAACACAAGTCGTTGAAGAGAGTCTGTCTTCGACGCCGCACGGGCAATTCTTCTTCCCTGTTCAAACTCCAACTCCACGGACTTCTCATCGCCGAGTTCGAAGAACGTGTCGTAGTAGTCAGTGAATGCGAAGATCGCCGTGGCCCCGTGGAAGGCTCTCTCGAGGCTCTCTTCATCGTTGAGATTCGCAGAGACAACTTCGACGCCCTTTGCGGCGAGAGCCTTTGCTTTCTCACTCGAGGTGTTTCGAGTGGTGCCTCTGACTTTCCAGCCTGGTTCTTTGAGGAAGGCGTCAACGACGCCTCCGCCCTGACCACCGGCTGCGCCAATGACTACGATCAGGTTCGACATGATTTAAAGTTGTGGTAGGAGTAGGGGCGAAGATAAGATCTTTCGTTTACAAGTTTATAGAGATACTGGTGTTCGAACTCAAACTATAATTCTATCGTATTCTGTTGTGGAACGATGATCTCTTTTATAAACAACGGACGTTGTAGTCAAATCGACTGTATCAAGAGAAGAATCTACACTTGCTTGAATAAGTCTAGCAGAATAGCCACCCGCTGCATACCTACCTACGCCATCATACTACACGGCTGCATATCATTCCGACGGAGTCTTGTCGATTTGTCATATGGTTCTGTTAATCTAGCGCGGCGTTTGTGCCTGTCTGCAGATGACTAGATTACAGTGTCAATGGCCTCCCACTACAGTCGGCAATCATGTACTTCGGTAGAGGCACATTTAAGCTTCGGCACTCGGCGCTATCCTTACAACCGAGGCGGGACATCAGAAATCCTTCTTGCTGGCACAAGAATGAGCATCTTCAAAGCTTTTGGGGTCATTGTCGACAATTCACAAATGAACCCAGGTTGGAGGCATTCTTTACAAAGTTCCCTCACGAGAGTGGCAAAGACCTTCTGCTCATGCTTAGAGCCTATTTTGGAGTCCCCCCGATATTTCAAGTGAGTGATCAGTGGAAAAAGATGTGATCATATTACACGAAGCTAGTAGTGTTATCGAATGGATAGAAATCCATCTCTAGAATATCCATTAACGAAAACATATCATTCGACACATCCTCAATAGGTGTGGTAGTTGCAGTGACCACTCGATCATCCGGCAAGCGATCTGTGACAGCTTCTGCTGGGTCCAAGATATTCACGTTTCCATCAAGACTGAGCGGAAATGGGAGTAACTCATGGATATGCGCGTTAACGCTCCTTGCCACCCATGTCGCAGATGACGATGAAGTATCGTTCTGGAGATTATTGAGAGATGCGTCTCTCCGCTCAGCTTGGATTTGCAGTCCCTGAATTCTCTGGAGCACTGATCGTGCGCCGCCATACTTCTTGCTCATAACGCGCAGCACTGAACAGATGCTTTCAATGCCATTCTTGCGAATCGTTTCCTTCTCTAACGTGTTTGGCCGGTGGAATACCAACACAATTGCGGCCACTAGAGCCATGAAGCCATTGATGCTCAGCAAGTGAGAAGCATCCTCTCTGTAGTGGATCTCCTCGTACAACTCGGCAACATAGGTTGCCGCTAGGACTGAGGCGTGGGACGTCCGCCACGGAGCATGACGGCTCTTGCTAAGCATCTGCACCATTATGATTGCCGTCGAATAATGGATATGCAACTCTGAAGTATAACGGTGATAAGTCCTCCGAGTACCGTCTGTATAGTAGAGACGCAACACGTCCGGCAGGCCGCTCTTCCATTCGCAAAGCGAGGCAATGACAGTTTCGACCTCGGATTCAACTGGTACGCCTTTTCTGGTGTTCAACTCCGACAACTTACCAATCACGTTCATGAGTCCGGTGAATTGTAAAGAGACCGTTGTGAATACCCCTTGTGTTATGAAGTCCGAAGCTGCAAGTGGCTGAACATCGCAGTCTGCAAGCTTCAGCGAACGAGGCCGGCCCCAGCAGGCGACCATAAGTGTCTCACTGTTCTTTGGAATGTCAGTGCATGGAACGAGAACACCAAGAGCTAAGTGCAGGGTGGGAACCGAGAAGCGCAGGCGCGTGATGCTTAGATGAAGGCAGCAAAAACGTACTATCAGATGCCAAAATATACGCCGTAAAGACCCGGAGTTATCTTTCTCTCTGTAAGATGATTGCGTGTGGATTCCCATTTGCACTGCTAACCGCACAGCCATACCAGTCCAATGCCACGGCCCATGAAGCGTGACAAGATATGGTGAGGCTGGGGCCCAACATGACAAGAGACATAGTGTCTTGAGGAGGAACGCGTTGTCTTTTTCGAACTCGACATGTATCAAAGTTTCAATCTTCTCGTAGAGTGAGTAACTCAAAGTCATACTGCTGGGTTCATGGCGCATAAGACTGCCGACGAGGCACACAGCTTGCTGTAGAAGGATCGACGACTCTCCCCTCGAGAGGTCATCCGCATCAACGACGGGAAAGTAAGGAAAGGCAAATTCAAAGAAGGCGTCCGTCAAAGCCTTGCGCAATGATGGCGCTGGCAAGGTGTCCGCTTGAGTGGCCTTGACCAAGACATCTCGGGCTTGCATAATTCGTGGCGGAAGGCCATCGTAAACTGCCATCGGCTCTATGGCGGAGTCGTACGACAAGACGGAGGCGTGGGAGATGAATCCCTCCGGTTGGTAGTCCCACGTTTTCAATTCTGAAGACCGAGCTGGAGTCAACATCCGCGGCTCAACTCTCGTTCTATCAGTGCCAAGACTGGGGGGGCGATGGCATGGCCGGCACAGTCGGCGATCTCGGCAGCATGAGCTGTCTTTGCCGAGCCGTCATCTTGCGGCTCTTTCGAACGCCATCTCGACGACTGAAGCGGAGAACTATGTCAGAAATCTTGCTGAAAGAGCCATGACGGAACAATAGCGGCTCACATGCACTGAACACCGGCACGGCAACAGTTTGCACATCCGTGAAGAGGGCTTTCTTGCAGGTCGCACCTCACCTTTTTGTTCGGTAGTCAGATAATGCTTGTATTACAGGCTGGGAGCATGTTTGTGAATCGACTTACTTTCCTGGAGTGGCACTCAACGCATACGACGTTAGCACGGTCCCGCACTGTCCTGGTATTCATATTGAATGAGGTTCGAGCCGAAGATTGTGAGACTCAGGCGTCTCCCAGCGTCGGTAGAGCTAAAGCTTTCCAGATTGCCGTTTATCTGCCGAACGACACGGCGTGCGGTGTGAGAACTGATGTGGGAGCCGAAATTACGTCAGGCCCGGCGCCTGTATCTAGCCAATGTGCCCGACGGATCGACCCAAGTCCGATTCCGTTTCCGTTTACATGTGCTGTGGCCATGCATCGTACGTGTGCTTTACTGGAAATGTCGGAATGGTGTGTACCCTTCACTCACCACCGTCCATGTAACAAGTACCTGATCTACGGATGCATAGGACCGAACCTCTTAAAGCTTTCAGGTGAATCCGATTGGCCGTTGAGCCGAGACTATCAACTTTTCTACATCGTTGTCCGAGGACGGGGGATCAAGCATTTACCTCGGGGCACCTCAAACTTCATTATTCATGTTTGTCCGGATGTTCATAAAATGCGAGGTAACAGCATTGGTTTCTTGGATTGCAATAATTATCCTATTTTGTGGCCTCTACTTCATCATTGATCGTTCAAGTCTGTTGACCAATTACGGATTATGGCGTCACTTCCTGCCTCAGGAGTACTGGTGGAAGCGGAAGAGTTCCGTGACTTTGGTGGCTGGATCTTGGACTCGCAGTTCGACTCGGAGATGGGATCGCCATATCTCCTCGCTCATGGTAACGGCAAGCCAGTCGCGGATGCAACAACTACCATATCAGCGAAAAAGGGCCATTACAATGTTTGGGTTCGAGCCAAGGACTGGGTTCCAGCTCATCATCCTGGTCAATTTACCCTGACTATCAACGGAAACACGCTTGACACAGTATTCGGCGCCAATGGCAAAGATTGGCACTGGCAGTACGCTGGCACAGTAGATCTCCTAGGGGATGACGTGCGACTGGTGCTGCACGATCTGACGGGATTTTGCGGCCGTTGCGACGCAATCTTTCTCAGCATGGAGGACACATCGCCGCCCAATGGAATAGACGAAGGATCGCGTGCCTGGCGGAGACGACTACGTGGTATACCCGATCAGCCTCACAATGCAGGGTCATTCGATGTTGTTGTCGTTGGAGGAGGCATACCTGGCTGTACAGCCGCATTAGCAGCTGCGCGAATGGGGGATCGTGTTGCCCTTATTCAAGACCGTCCCTACCTCGGCGGCAATGCCAGCGTAGAGATCGGGCTCACTCCACGCGGTATGACCAACTCCATCGTCCAAGAGCTCTCTCAACGCGACCTCGACGGCGACCTAGTCGCGAAGCAGCTGCTTGATGCAGAACCCAACGCCACAGCGTTCATGGAATACACTGTTTACGATGCAGCCCTCACTGGTTCGCAGATAACATCGGTGAAGGCCCGACATGCCCGCACTGGAAAGGAGATTTGCCTTTCAGCTCCAGTCTTCATTGACTGCTCTGGCAAAGCCATCCTTGGTATCTGCACTGGCGCAGAGACCCTTTTTGGTCAGGAGTCCGAGGCGATGTATGGCGAAAGCCTTGCGCCTGCAGTAGCTGATGAGATGCATCACGGACACACAGTCTTTTTTCGAACTCGGATGGGCGACAAACTTGCCCCCTTTCCGTCTGTTCCATGGGCTACTGAGGTCGCCAAAGACTACTCTGATCTTCGGGGTCAGCTCAGTAAGCCCGGTCTTGAGAATGGCCCGGGACCTCTTGTTGTGCCCCCGAATTTTGTACCCGATCCTACCATGGATATGAAGATGAAGGGACCTCTTACCCACTTCTGGGAGTACGGCCAATGGCTCGATCCATATACTAATGGTGAACATATTCGGGACCATCTCTTGCGCGCCATCTACGGGACTTTCCACAACGTGAAAGAGATGGAGCCCAGGACTTACGCGAATCTGGAATTCGATTGGGTAGCATTTGTTGCTGCTCAGGGAGAGTTCAAGAAGTACAAGGGAGACTACATTCTTACAGAGACCGATATCCGCGATCACAAAGTCTTCCCCGACGCTGTGGTTCAGAATGCAGGCGCCTTTTGTTTACATTACCCAGGCGACAAAAAGTACGACTTCCGTCTGCAGGCCTGGGAATGGGATGAGCGGGATAAAAAGCCTTACGACATCCCGTTCCGGTGTCTTTATTCGTCTAATATCTCGAATTTGATGATGGCGGGCAAACATATCAGCACTACGCACATTGGAGGATCCAACGCCAAGTTCATGGCCAATGGAGGATGCCACGCTCTGGCAACAGCTGCCGCGGCGCACTTGTGCATTAAGCACCAAACCAATCCTCGTGGTATCTATGAGAATCACCTTCAAGAGTTGAAGGCAACTGTCATCCGCCAGGGTCAGGGTATCTGGGACAGAAAATCGGACAACAGACTGTAATTTCCGGGTGGCTATGTGAAGCCCATCGACGTTTTTCATAAGAATCTGTAAACTTCAATCAGGCATCATTCGGGAGGAACATACTAAACATAGGAGTGTAGCTTTCCCGCAGGTATTTCACGCTTCCGAATTGTCCGTCTTTATAGAATGTTGAGGAGCCAATTGAGTTTTGATTTCAAAATGGTTGCTTTTTCTCGGATCTGCAGAGCCAGAGATGGTTCTTTGCAACAATGCTACAGCTTCTCGTTATGAACTCCATCAACTGCCTCCTTGAAATCCTCCAAGAACGACCACCTGCCCTGTTCGATCCAACCTCGGGTCAAGAAATCATTTGCATATTCCGGGAACTCCCGGACGATGTCCTTTAAATGGGTATCGTGAGCAATTACAACAAGGGTATTTCCGCTTCCATCAGCTTCGATAATCCGGTCTACGGTCTCCTCGGCAGCATCCGGGTTGCCAAGTAGCATACCAGGACGATGAACGCCATAGAACGGTTTCGTCGTGTCTTCGTCTCGGAGGATGGGTTTGAACAGCGCGCCGGGGCAGGGAGTCACATTGCCCGAATGAAACGGATGTGGCGATATCGAGTCGGGCAGCGGGTTGTATGCGGATGGCCTCATCTCGGCGCTATGGTGACAGGTGTCACCGCCCATGAGGATGAAGCTGTCCGGGCCGGTCGTCACCCGCGCAATAGCGTTAACATGACCAACGGTATGACCTGGCGCGTCCAGAATGTAGAAGCTTCCGTCACCGAAGTAGTCGATGGCAGGAAACGATCCGACTTTGATAGTTGACTCGGCGAAGCTCAGTTCACGGAGTTCGCGGCCGGCGAAATCGGAATCAAGGACTGGGGACCCTGGGTTCGTAGGGTAGCCCGGCATGATAATGTCCTTGAAACCCGGGCCAACTATCAGCGAAGTGCTTGTGGGAAATCTGCTCGGATCGCCGATATGATCCCAATGCCAATGGCTCCAGATGATGCTCTCGATTTCACTTGCTTTAACCCCGCCTTCTTCGAGGATCTCTCTCACATCCTTCTCCACGCTGCACGTCGTACCACTCTCTTTCATCCAATTCTGAATAGGAGGTGAGAGATTTTCGAAGTCTTTGCGCACGCCGAGATCGAAGAGGACTTTGCGGCCAGTGGTTGGGTGCTCGACGAGGAAGACGTATGAAGGACACGACAGCCACGAATGACCTTTGATGACGTGTGAAACCATACTCTCCATGCTCACCCTAATCTTCGATGTCGAGTCAATAACCCTAACATTGACGGTCGAAGCAGATGGCGGTACGCGAAATTTTGATAAAGGCATGGTGGCGAACTTCCGGTCCAATGGACAATTTTGGATATACTGCGGTCCAGGAATCCAAGAAGTTTCCATGGTTATTTACTGATCTTTTTCCTCAGTGATCATATCGTCCAGGAGCACCCAAAGCAAGACTGAGAGAAATCCGGCACTCGGTACTCGGCACACGGTGGTCTTGTCGGCACTAAAGAGCCTGCATTTTTAAACGTCCCAAAGTAGTATCACTTCGTGAGCATAACTGTGGGGATATAAACGGCATGTGGAACATCGAATCTAATCTCAAAGGAGTTACAGTTGGAAATATTGCTCCGTAACACAATGTCTATTCGTACAGCTTTAGTAACTGGATCCGCTAATGGCATCGGCCGAGCCATAGCACTGCGCCTGGCGCAAGATGGTTTCCAAATAGCCATTAATGATCTTGCTAGCCAAGAAGTCAAGTTGAGAGAGCTACAGTATGAGCTTGAACTGAAAGGTCAGCTCATGGATATAAGCTTCTCGCACATTCCACCCACAATAGCTGACAATGTGGAGGCGTGCGGACTGCTGTCCTTACTGCAGACATCAGCAACGAAGACGATGTCGCGAGTTTGATTCGAAACACATCAGAGATGCTTGGAGGGATTGATGTAAGTATTAATCAATACACCGATGTCAAAGTCAAAGCTAAATAGGGCGGGTCCAAAGGTGATGGTCGCAAACGCTGGTGTGATTCTCGTCAAACCGATCCTCGAAATCAGTGCCAGTGAATGGGATAAAGTGCAGGCTGTAAGTTTCTAGCCCAAGACTTCTGTATTTCACGTGTTGATATGACATAGATCAATGTTCGGGGAGTCTTTCTGTGCTATAAATATGCAGCTCAGGAGATGATCAAGCAGGGTCGAGGCGGGAAGTTGATCGGAGCTT